CTTCATGTTGAATGTACTTTCTACAGCAGTAGTGACTGTAACTGGCGAGTGGAACAGCAATTAGCACTCTTTCTGTGCGCAGTTACTAGATATGAACGGTTTTGAATACCCTGGGGAGTTTTTTTGCAGCAGCAGGAGCATGCTGCACAGAGATATTGATCTGAACATATATATGGGTGTGCAATCAATATTTTCTGTGCACCGTATGACTGTCCCTTACCCAGAACGTATTGTGGTGTAGCCCCACACGATCACCCACAGTGGACTAAGACACCTCTTGGGTCTTGATCTCTCCTGAGCTCTGCAGCTTACTGAAGAGGAGTGAGCTGCTTGCCGGGACAGCAGAGCCTGAGCTGTGCCACTGACATGGTTTGTGGCCTTAGAAGGTCAGTTGATCTGTCACTTTGGTCCCTTTTGCTACAAAGTGGAAATGAGGGTGCTTGCCCTGTCTCTAGTGCTGTGTTGGGACTTTGCTAATGTGCTCCTAAATCTTCTGCCAAAAAGCCCAGCAAAACTGCAAAGGCAGAGCTGTCTGGTTTCCATGCCTTGTGTCCCCAGATGCCCTGAGGACAGAGTGGACAGGACAGGTTGTGGAAACTTGGAGGGCAGGGTAGCAAGATGCTTCAGTATCTCACCTTATGTTTTTTGTAGTGATTTGAAAAGACTTTCTCAGCAAGACCAGTGTTCTAAGGGAAACTGCTTTGAAGGGTTTTGTCGTCACACAGAGACAGCTTGTTTTACCCATAGCTTGCATGAATGGAAGGGACTGAAAGATGGACAATATCTGTTTTGCAGAACTTTTGATTTTTACCATCAAAGTCCCTGGTGGATTATTAGGCAGATAGCCATTGTACCAGCACTCTGGGTGACATTTATCAGTTCTTGGTAGCTGTCCCAGGAGAGACTAAGAACTGAAAGGTCCTGGATACCTGACCCAACTCTCCTTGACAGAACTTTCTTGCAGAGGGGGAGATGGTGCCTGTTTTAAGGCTTAACGAGGCATCAGCTTCCAGGGCTGCGTCAACAGCATGTTTCAATGACTCCAAATTGAGGCATCAAAAAACCCAAATGAATTTGTCATTACAAATTAGAAATTGATTTCAAGGGTACAAATTGCAACTACACTTGTAGCTCGAAAGGTATTGGTCAGCCCACTTCTCAGATGTTAACTAAGACACTGTCCTTACAAGCACCTTTCTTACTTCTTTTAGTTTCCATTTTCTTTCTCCTGCATGTCTTAGTTAAGCATGTAGATGTGCACGTTTGCTGGTCCATGGGTTCATGCAGGCTGCTGAAGCCAGGATGCCACTCTGGGAGGCTCCTACTGATGTCCAGTGTCTGTGTGTGCTACTTTTCTCCCTGGTGGTTTTTGTTTGTTTGTTTGTTTGTGTTTTTGGTTTGGTTTGGTTTGGTTTTTTGCTGCTGAATCATTCCTAGCAGTAATGCAGTATTCTTTATTATCAGCCCATCAGCCACTTGTGTTGCTAGTCCTGTTTGTTTGTAACAGATTTCTCCCTCTAATCTTCTCCTTAGTGTGAAGATCCAGTTGTTCTATATTTCATTGTACAATGTGTTACTGAATACAGCGATTAGGTAGTGCCCTGTGCAATAACCCTGCCTTAAGGATGTTTTCAAGAAAGAGGGGAAGGAAAGAAGAAACCAAACTCATTTTAACTGTCTCTTGGACAAATCACTGGACAGCCGAGGCTATGTCTTTGAAAGCAAAGGGGCTGCTCAGATTATGAAATTCTCAAACATTAGCTCAGCATGGCTGAGCCAGGGCATAGGGAGATGTGTGAGCCTATTAATCATTGCAGGGCAGCTGAAAGGTTCCTGATTTTGTGGCCTTCTAATATTTATCCTCTTTTGAGGATTTTTTGGTCCTGCTGATAAAGGATTTCATTCCTCTCTTGTGAAGCCATGCAGAGACAGCAGAGGTGTGAGCTTAATTCAGGGTTGCTGAATGACTTGCAGCTATTAGGGGAAACTGTGTTACTCAGCATTGTTTTCCTTCTGAAATTGTTGCCTTGGCAGCATCTCAAGGAGTTTTGCATATTTGACTCTTTAAATTTCCTGTTCCTCAGACTGCTCTATCTTTACAGTTTCCAGTCATTGCATTTTTATTAAAGATCTCCATGGAAGTAAACAGTCTTGGAGGGTTCATCCTTCCAATATCCCTGGCTTGAGAGGAGGAAGCAGGAGTGGAAGTGTTTCTTAATAAGGGGAAGATGGGAAAGTATGCTACTGCCAGTGTAATAGGTTGAAAAATCATTCATCTGAACTCACATTACTTCTCATATGATAGACTATAAAAGATTATTATGCTTAAAAGAGCTCTTTTCACTCACCATGATGTGTCTGTCTAGGGACACGCTTCAGTGCTCACTTGCAAACAAGCCAAACACAGAACTGTGAGTTTTCAAGCCCACATTTGTCTCTTTTACTCCATTCCCAGCTGTCACTCACTGCCTTCTTCCCAGCAGGAAAAAGCAGGAATGTTTGTAGAAGAAGGAACAAAACAGACTCATTCCCCAGCACTTGCAAGGTGGTAATGGCCTACTTAAGCTCTGTCTTCCATGGGGTGGTGGGTGAACTGGATTTTCCAGAGAAAGTTTTCTTCCAACTTCACCCAGCTGCATAATTGCAAATACAATAAAAGAATTTTTCTGGAAACTGCTTTCTTATTTTGCATTTAAAGTGTTGGAAACTATTACCAAGCATACTCAAGACAACGGAGTTGAATCTGGGTGTTTATGGCAATATATCTGCTTTGATTTATGCGGCATTGGTCATCTCTTTATAACAGAGTTAATGTGAGGGTAATCTACCCCCCCTCAACACATCTTAATGCTGCATTGCTTTTGCATCCGGTTACTTTATCATTTCAATGTGCAGCCCTTTGTCGACACTGAATATCCTTTGTAGGTCAGCTGCCATGCAGGCAGCCTACATGTGTGCGGGGCTTAATTGGTCTCTCAGCTCTTTCCCATTCTCTACTTTGTTTTGCTTACAGAGCTCATCCTTTCCCTTCCATTTCTCTTTCCCAGGAGAAAGGCAAGACAGTGATGACAATGCACCCTCTGCTAATGGACCCTGCTGAGACAGTGATTTTGGCTGCAAGGGAGACTTTATAGGCATCTTGCACTTCACTTACCAAAGGAGGATCAGATGCTTCCAGTGATCTGCCTTTTTTCTGGGACCACTGCTGATGAAGCTCTTCCTGCCCTGGCAATATGTGTAAATCAGCCTGGACTTGGCTTTTACACTGCAATCCCACAGCATCTCACACGACACATAGGGCAGTGTGATCTGTCTTTGTTGACTTCTCAGAGTTTCAGAGCAAAGAAAGTAAACATGAAGGTGTTTTGCTGAGGGTTTTGTAAGATGTTACATTAGCTAGGTTTCCAAACCCTTCAGAACTGAAAGGGATTTTTGGAAAGGGCTTACTTCCCCCTAAAAATCTCATCCTTATCTAATACATTCTAGTTAGCAGACAATACTACAGACTTGATATAACTTCGTATGATGAATGAGCAGGGGCTTATTGTTGGAGTCTAGGGATAATCTCCTCACTGTGTTTAAGCACCTTACCCCTTCTTGCTTTCTGTTGTACTCTTCTTGCGATAATAATGCTAATAGATTTTTAAAATTTATAATTATGTTGATTCATATCCTGGAAGCTCAGCCCTAGTTGATTAGTCAGATTTTTTAATCTGTTTTGGTTGAACAATAAGATCTCGCTTTAGGTCTAATACCAGTGCGGGCTGTGGACGCAGTTCAAACTCTGCAAGGCTTCTGGTGGGCATGCTTCACAAAAGACACTTTGTCTCCTTTGGAACAAATGCCATCGAACAGTGGAATTTATTTCTTAACTATTTTTCCAGGGCCCCTCTGTTTCCAGAATGCTCTCAAACACTTCGCACAGAGATTTGCTTCTTTGGAATGGCATGAGGGAGGACCAGCAGTGGGGATTTGCTTTCTGTGCATGGCATGGTTTGCCTCATCTGCATGAGCGCTCTCTTGTTCCTAGGATACACTTGCTTGACTTAATTTATGGGCTTGCTTTATTATTTTTTCCCTTTGGCTGAGATCTGTTTTGACTTTCCCACTAAGCTCCTTTTGAGCAGGGGCAAAACCAACAACACTGAATTTATTTAAGTGGAATTAAAGGGCAGTCCTTGTGTGTAAGGCTGGAGCTGGGCTGCTAAAGCATGCTCAGCCTCCTGAGGTGCTAAAAACCCTCATGTTTCATTCAAAAGCCAACTGCACTGAATAGCAGAGAACCACTTCTGAGGACTGCAGTGGGCTCTAACACCAGCAGCACAGAATGAAAGATGGGGCTTTTGGAGGTGATGGGATATAAACTGAAAAGAGTTGACCAAGTACGTTATGTTAAGGTCCCAAGTAGTTTTGTTGTACCAGAAGCAAGGTCTGGAAGATGAGGTAGTCCCTCTACTCCTGTAGTGCAATAGTTACTATTGAAAATGAGTGAGATAGTTAATGCATATATAAACACTAAGAGCCATTTTCATTAATAAAAATGAAATTCACCTTCTTCAATAGCATTATAAATCGCAAAGAGGGATCTTTCTGTATTGAATCATCAACTGATTGTCCTTGAAAATTCACCCCTACTTTGTGTCTGCAGATATTTCATCATCTGAAGCTTTCATCAGAACAATATAGAAATGCAGACACTGGACAAGAGAGCACGGTATAAAAACACAGGGCTTTCATGAGCATACCATGGGTACCAGGCATATAAGAGGCACATCTACCCAGCAAAAGAAGGCGTTTCTGATAGTGTTCAGAGCAGCTCTGGTAGCTGGTTCCTCAGTGTGACTCTGATGTTAACCCTCATGCAGTAAATTAAAAGCAGTTCACTGGAGGACACCCTTTCTGTGTAGTGCCCATTGCATTGGTGGGTGGAGAGGACTGTCCATGTATGTGGGACAAGGTCTATTTCTTTTCTCCTCTTTGTTTGGTTTTTTTTCCTGTAGAAGAGAAGAGCCAGAGCTGGAGTTTAAGAATTTGAGGAAACATGATTATATCTGTTTATCAAAATTTAGTCTCTCCACCTGATGCTAAATAAACAAGGCAACAGGTAAGCTGATTTAGTGAATCTTCCAGATCTACCCTTGAAGGGCACAGATGATGGAGGAAATCCAGTAACTCCAGAGAGGTGAATGTTTAAGATTCCTTCTCATACCTGAACGATGTAGCTCCTAGGTCAAAACTGAAGCTGGTTGGGAGTGGCACAAGAGAAAGTTGTTTTTCCCATCCTGTCCTATTCTTGCTCTGCAGATTACAATAATGGTTCGTCCTCAGGGGTGCTTACTCCTATGTATCCAGCTGGCACTAGATTAGCTTGAAAAACTAACAGGGCCTTTATATAAATCATCTCCAGAGCATCCTTCTGGTGTTAGAGGTCCCAGAAAACTACTTTCCATATCACCTTTATATCACAACCACATATGCTGTCGGTTAAAAGGTTTTGACCCAATCAGATGTTGGCTTGTGTTTGTCTTTTCTTATTGAAAGGGTTAGAAGACGAATGAGAGATATGATGTAATGCATTATTTGTTTTGTAAGGAAAAAATCCAGTGTGGTTTCCAAAGATGTCCCTGCATTTTCTACTTTATTTGCTGAAGTTATTGTTGGTCTCAGGTTTTTTACAAGTAATGAAGCTGAAAGCACACATGTAAGAAAGAAACTAGACAGAAAAAGAATTACTCTTTTTTACTAGGTGGAAGTGAATTTAAAAATATGATGACTGGATACATTGCTGTTCCCTGAAGAAGAAAGCCCATTACTGTGTTTCACTTTAGGATACTGAGGATGTAGTACTGGGCATTTTACTGTCTCCTCACATGTGCTCTGACCTGAATGCTGGGAATAAATATTCTTGGTCATCAGCTGACAGGAATTACATGGGAACCTAAGGCCAGCTTTCCTCCAAGACAGTACCCATACCTTAAATCTGTGAGGTGTCATGGCTGGTGTGCAAGTGTGTCCACACATCAAGGCGGAGGAACAACTTCAGCACAGGCAGCTGACCAGGGTAGCAAAAATGAAAATGTAGCATGAGAGGCTTCAGCATGGGCTAACAGCCAAGGTTAGGACATCGGTTTACAAACACCAGTGTTTTGCCTGACAGTGTGTGCTGTCTTTTTTTAAAGTGTCTCTTCTGGTTAGAGAAAAGCAAGCAGAGCTGGCAACCTCTTGTCACAACCAACCCTTTGCTTTCCTAAGGAGACATTTCTAGTTGCCCTGACCAGCTGGCAGGTCAGTGGGATGCTCTGAAGTGAATTGGGCCACACTGATGACACTTCTAACATTCCTGAGTGAGGTATAGCTCCTGTGTACTGGTACAGAGGAGTTTGTATGGTGGGCCTCCACCAGCTAGACCACTGACAGACCCTGAAGATGGGATTTTCATGGCAAAGAGTCTGTTCTTTGAATCAGAAAAGGTAATGGCAATAGGAGGACTGCAGTAGTTCATTGTTAGGGGTCATTAGACAGCCGAGTCTTACTTTGGGTTGGGATTGTTGTTTGGATGTCTTCTGTGGTTTTGATTAGATGCAATCTTGATTTCTTCATTTAGGAATTTTATCTGGGAGCTCTTCTTATCCTTTTAGTCCACAAACCCACTCTTGAAAAAGATCTCTTTTCCTTTCATGGAAAACAATGAACACCAGAATAGTGTCTTGCACAATGTACACCTGTGGCAGGAAAAGCAGATGATGTTTCCCCTGTTGCTTCACTTTGACAGGTCTTTGGTTCACCTAGATAACACAATCTTTTTTCCACATAATTCTCCTTCAGGAATTCACTGCTTGTCACATCTGATGATTTATGCACTTGTCAACCTTTTTTTTACATTGACAAATACCCTGCAAAGATAAGGTACTGGCCTTTACCAATATGATGCCAGTAATTAAAATGAAGAATGCATTACAGTAAAAGGTAGAAATATAGATCTAAAAGCCATGCTGGTATTTTTAGTGATGGAGGTAATTGAGGATTTCAGTTTAATAATTCAGTGCAGCTGAGATTAATAAATGGTATGAGGTAGAAATGGTCTTTCAAGACCAGGGGTATAGTTAACAATTTATTTTAGTATATCCCGAAAGATGCTGCTGGAATTACTGTGTAATAACTCAGCATACTCCTACAATTTCCAAGTCTGTCTTGTAAAAGGATTATGCAAAGTGAAGTGACCCATCTGAGAAGAAGCCAAAAAGCCATGGTCTCCCAGCCATATCTGCAGGGGGTCACTTTGCATCGCTATCTGTTTCTGCACTGGTGGCAGCAGAGGGGAGGCTGGATGGAGGACCAAAGACCAGCCCCATCACAAGCTCTCATGATAAAGTGCCTGGTAATGACACAAGCCCTCCAGGGTGGGCCAGAAGGCAATCCTCTCCCTCTTTCTCAAGGGTAAGCTGGTACAGAGAGTGGGGGAGGAAATCATCCATGTATAGGTGAAATGTGACAGGCCAGGGAGCGGTCCCACTTACTATCTCCCACAGCAGGGATTGATAGAGGGAGCACTCCCTAGGTGTAAAGTTCTGGGTAGGTGCAGTGGTCATGGTCACTTTTACCTTCCTTGCTCCATCTCCTGAGAGTCTCAGGAGGTTCCAGGCTAACTTCCCCTCTTTTGGGGCATCAGATGAGCTTTGAAATTAAAGGGACGCTTGTATCATTGGAGTCCAGCCCTGCAAATCTTACTTGCAAACCTTGTAAATTGGCTTTCTAAATGTAATCCCATGGGGTTCATTGCCTTGTTGTCTTTTCAAGTGCTGTGCCAGAGAGCATTTTCTGGTTGGACCCCTTAGTTCTTATCATGTCCCACTCGCACAGGAATGCTGCCAGTGTGCAAGCTGTGAGTTTCATTTGCTTATGTTCCTTGGCTCAGTAAAACTATTTGAAAGGATTAGTTCTATGTAGCCAGCAGAACCACTTGTCAGGACAGTTTCTTGGGTGCCCCTTTAAGCATCCTTTAAGCATCATGGATACGTTTGATGAGAGTTTTTCTCTAGTTTATGAAAAGACTAAACCTGATAAATGATCATGCTCTCTGTTTAAGGTGTGAGGCCAAGCAGTGCTGAGCTGTGGCTAGTAGACAGGTTTATTCTGTTTGACTACAGAATATCTCACCATCAGAAGCTGGCTCTGGACCTGCCATTTTACTCCCTTACCGAAACATAAAAACATCCATCAGCTAGGTTCAGTTCAAATCCTGATGGAGCAAGATGCCTTAAGCATGTGAACAGTTATCTGGGCTTCTTTTTGCTCTGGTGTTGATAAGGTTAAACTGAGCAGCTTTATCTTGTTACACTCAGACACTGAAAAGACCTTATTTCCTGTCTGTATGTTAGGTGGGTGAATTACATTGCAGACATATATTACAGCTGGAATGCATATGTTGTGTAATAAGTACTGCCCCAACTTTGCAGTGACGATTATACACATGGAGATTATTCAGGCTTTCTCCCATTTGCTTTGCAAGGGTCAGTACATACCTTGTTTATACCCTTCACTTACTGTTTAAAGCAGCTGATGGGCAGAGCCAAGCTCTATGTCCATCTTTTGAAGTCAAGCAGTAATCCTACAGGAATGGTGAATTGGTTTGCATATAATGCACAGTTTAACAACTTTCTATACTGCTGCTTCTCACTTCAGTTTCTAGGATAACCTGAAGTTATATGGGAATCTTCGGGGGGGGAATCTTCCCCTCTCTCCTTGCAATGCCAGATTGTATCACAGCCTGTTGGGTATACTGCAGCATTTTGTGGGTTTGGTTGGTTTTTGTCATCTGCCTGATTGTGATTTTTTTTTTCCTCATTAGGTTTAGCTTTGTGATATCGTGATAGATTTTGAAAATAATGTTTTTCAATCCAGGATCAAACAACTCAGCTTCCTCTACATCAAAATTTGCTTAACACTAAAGACTATGATCTGGAAACACTCTGTAAAAATCAGTTATCAGTAAAGAGGCACAGCAATATTCTCAGGGCAAGTTCCTAATTTTTTTTACTGTTTAATACTGTCTAGATCACCTTATAAACTGAAAGCAGCAAGTACATTAAATACAGTGCAATGACTTACACAGACCAAGTCCAGGATGTCTGGTTTACTCATTGTATTGGTTTCCATCCCATAATATTTCCTGATTGCCACAGCAGGTCCCCATAGGCTACACAGTGCTGTCTTAGACCTTGAGCATGAAAATCACACTGTTTCCATTATGTTCTTAGACTGTGCTGCTGGTGCATTATTCAGATTTGGACTGAATTATGATTTGATTTGACCTGGCCTGCATTGCACTGCTTGCTGAAATACTGAATAAGCCAGGGAGGCAGATAACAGCCTCAAGTGGCCTGCTCTCCTCTTTTCAGGATCAATGATCAGGTTTTATCATTCAGGTTATTGCTGTTATCATAGGACCACGGAAACCTGTTCATTAACCCCAACTGCAGTGTGCTGGAGCTGTGCAAGCATGGGACAGAGCTGACCGCTGCCCGCAGGAGTCCTCAGCCTGGGCTTAGTGCAATGGTGTTCTCTCAGCAGAACAGCCACCAAGCTCCTCTCCACATTTCTTTGCTGCTGTGTTAGGCTCACAGTGTAGACAATACCAAGGAGGAGAATCTGAAAGAAAAACAGTGATGCCACTTTTTAAATGAATCTGTCTGTACCCTGTAATTCACACTTGGCCATAGTAAGCTTGGCCACTGTCAGTGTGCAGTGGTTCTGGCCCACAGATGGTACCATAACAACTTCGTTTAGGCATACAGATCTTAACCATTCCATTATACCATTGCAGTCTTTCATGTAGGTACATATATTTTTGTCTTTCTGCTAAAAAAGAGCATTTCTTCTAAATATTGCCACTAAAAAAACCACCTTAAACTTGCAAACACACTGTGCTGGTTTTGGCTGGGATAGAGTTAATTTTCTTCATAGTAGCTGGCATTGGGGCTATGTTTGGATTTGTGCTGGAAACAGTGTTGATAATACAGGGATGTTTTCTTTATTGCTGAGCAGTGCTTACACAGAGCCAAGGCCTTTTCAGTTTCCCACGCTCTGCCAATAAGTAGGTACACAAGAACTGTGAGGGAGCATAGCAAAGACAGCAGATCCAAACTAGCCAAAAGGATGTTCCATACCGTAGAAGAAGAAGGAAGGAGGTGATGTTTGATGTCGTTTGTCTTCCCAAGTAACCATTACATATGACAGAGCCCTGCTTTCCTGGAGATGGATGAACATTTGCTGAATGAATTTCCCACTTTTACCCTTCCAATTCTATCCCCCATCCCACCTGAGGGGAGTGAGTGAGCAGCTGCATGAGTCTTAGCTGCCGTTTGGGGTTAAACCGCAACACATGCACGGAATGTGAACACTGCAATGAAGATTTTCACCACCTCTCTGCAGATCTTATGAGCCTCTCTGCTCATTTAGCTTCTCAAGACTGTTGATTTGAACTCAAATTCATTTTGGTAAAGACCACAAATCAAGTCCTGTCATAACTAGAGAGCATGGTGTGATATCATTATTGCTTACCCTTGAATGAACCTGAAAGCTGAGGTGATCAATACAGACATAATTGCCAGTGTCACCAATTAATTGTTCCTGAGTGAATGAGCACCTCTTCAACTGGCAGCCTATCAGTGTCAGAAACAGCAATGCAATGTGGCAAACTTTGTGTGGGATGAAAATACCCTTTTGGGCAAGTGTAAATTATTAGCAATAGGCTTTTCTTTCAGTGTTTTGCTGCACATTTCTAATTTCACCATGACCAGAGGGGAATGGCCAGTGCGGTTTTTACCTTTCTGGGTATGGCAAAGATCAACCAATCTTGGCTAAGCCCTACTTCAGCCATATGCTTAAGCAGGTACTTAGAGTAAAGCATGAGATTAAGTCACACTGAATTCAAAATTAGTCAGATACTTAAGGGCTTAATTTAAAAATTACCCCAATAAATTTGCTCAGTTCTTAATCACACAAGTTGCACAGAAAAGCAGTCACATGGAAGCAGCATCCGGGCTGCTAAAAAATTAACACATGAAGAACACGGTATGTTATTTGTAGAAGGTTTAAAAACATTTTTGCCACTTCTTAGAATGACACTGGCCTTCGAGTTAATTCCAGCATTGATCTCTGTGTCTCTTTGTACAATGGAACCAAGAGCATAAGCAGCTTTTTAGGAAAGTGGTTTTACAGTAACCCACATTACTCTGTAAGCTTTCGTGTTGATTTCACATTTAGCCTTTATCCCTCTGTCCATCTGTTGAGCACAAGTCACTTGTGCCCAAGGGTTACAGAGCAAAGGTCATTTTATCATAACATGATTGCTTAAAAAAACCTCAAGATTTTGTCATGTGGCTTCAGTTTAAATGTAGTTCCCAGCTAATTAGTCTGATAAAGTATGTATATTTGCAAACAAAGAATAACTATAATACCATCCCGGTGGAGATCGGCAAAGGAATTTGGGGAATGCAAATGTTGATAATTGCAGTTCCTGTGCTACAGTTAGCTGGAGCAGACAGATGGCTGCCCTTAAGCAGACCTCTCTTGGTGCCAAGATGGGACACATGGGACAAGAGACAGTAGATCAAATTGCAGGATGAAAGGCCAGATTCTGATGTCCAGACTCATTTTATTCAGTCTTTTCTCAGTTAAAGTTATCATGGGGCATTTCCCAAAGAAAGACTAGAGAGATTCCCAACAATCTTCAGCAGATGGAGACCAGGATATAAAATTTCTTTTCTGAGAGGGGGCTGTAATTCTTCTTTCCTTTTTTTCTTGTATTTCTTTATTTTTTAGTCTGTGCCTGAGTTACTAAATACCAATATCAGTAAGGTAATTCTGCCTGCCTGTACAGATATTCCTGTGTGTGCATTTAGGTGCTTTTGGTATCCTGAAGAACTATCCATTTTTGACACTTGCCATTCCTCTGGCTTGGAAAGTAAAGATAACCTTTTTTCTCTTTAAAAACAAATGAACACCACTACCACCACCATCTCAACCCCAATGATAGCTACTATTTTGGCTTTGTTTGCATTGAGCTTTTACTTCATAATATAGATTTTACAAAGCATAAGTTGATTTGCGTGTCCTAGATAATGAATGGTAGTGCGTCACTTCAGTTGGACTGTTTTCAGAAGGATGTTAAGGGCCCATCAGACTGAAGTATTAGGAACATCATGATTATTTTGAGTGGACTTACTCTTGAGGGCAAAACAAGCTTTTTCATAGAAATTACTTCAAAAAACTTGCAAATCTTGGGGCTTTCTCTCTCTCTCTCTTTTTTTTTTTTTGGTGTGTTTTCTGGCTCTGCACTGAGAACCCATGTGCTTCTAGTTTCTACAGGCTGGTTGACCAGAGGTGCTGGCTTTCAGCTTATTATGCTCTCTGAACTCACCAGACACTCTGACACTGGTGCAAAGTTGAAGACTCATCTGTTCAGGGAGACAATGAATAAAGTGTGCCAGCACATATCCTTGATGACAGAAGTTGAAACAGGGAGAAATACTGCTAAAATAGACCCAGTAACGAGCTTGCGATGTGGTTTAAACATTTCTGCTCCCATCACGGTATCACTTGGCTTTTGCTCTTGCAGTCTGAGTGGGCCCGAGCAAGGGGTTTGTCTAAACCTTATGCTTCTTAATCATCCATTTTATTGGAATGCAAAAAAAGACCATATTGTACATTGACTCTGTATTGTCTTCCTATAGCAATGGAAGAGGAGATCGTGCTTGCAGCCCAGTGCAGCAAGAGCAACCCCAGTGGTGTTGATAGCATTTGAGGAGTTCACTGTGAGTTCAGTGCCCTTGGGTGAAGCTCTGGATCCTGAACTTACAGTGCTGCAGGACTCACTTAAGCCTGTGTGCACTCCTTGAGCTCCCAGGCACTCCCCTCCTCTCTATCCCTCCTTGCCAGGCTTTGGGTATAACTACAATAGGAACTGACACTCTCCCGATGGCCACATAAAATCTCTTTAAGGCACTGGAAGCTGAATGCTAGCCAAGAGGGCTCTGCTGGCTGACAGCCTTCACCCCCTTCTTTCATTAAGCCTTAAATAATGAAATCTTCCGGCAAAACAAAGAGATTTAAGGATGCAAAGCGTTCCTTATTTCCTCTTTCCTTAGAAAGCATTTGGTTGAAGTTGATTTATAATACAACCTATACAAATGTAAGGTTGTACTTATCATTTGATACCTCTCTACCCTTCAAGGATATAAGAAGACTAACAGCAGGGAAGCAATTGGAGCAGAGGCATGTACATGCAGTGTGCTATTTGCCACTGCTAGTCAGCAAGCCCTGCTGTGTGGTGCTGCTTCACACACCGGTTCCTGCACAGCGAGCTGGCAGGAGTTGCCACAGATAAAGGCTATTTTGCGGTATCCATGTGCAGTGAACATGAAGATAGTTGAGTTTCTAAGGCTGTGAAATACTTTGCACTGAGAGGGGTGAACATGGGCTGATAAAGAAATGTAGCGGTGTGAAAAGATGCCAAAACCAAACAAGACAAGTGTTAATCCAAAAGCAGCAGCACGACTGAGCCCTGATTGTACTTGGCATGACAGAGTGGGAGAGGGAGATAGGAGATGAGGCTCAGGCACTGGCTTACCAGACATCTTCGCACAGCCTGCCACCAAGAGTGGTATTGGGAAATCACAGACTTTCCAGGAGCTTCCCCTGACATCAGCCTATGCTGTGTATCAGGAGGAAAGGACGGTTTTGCTTCACAGCTCGTCAAAAGTCCAGCTTCTGTTCCGAGCAGACCAATGGGTCAGGTGGGGTACCATCCTGCCAGCAGGACCCATAGCTCAGGCTGCTTTGAAGGAAGATGCAGCTTCCTCAAAGGGACATTTTTCCTGCCTCCAGCTTGTGGATGACTTGAAGTCCTGAAGCCCGAGACCTGATGAACCTTGTAATTTTAACTTGACAAAGCTGCAGATACTGTTCTGAATCACCTCAAAGCCAGATTGTTGTTTAAAACTTGTCTGCATGCTTTACCTCCCTAATAGGTGGTGGCTCTCCCAGGTCACAGACATCATCAGCTACAGCAATCGATACTCCACTTGTGCCTCTAGTGCCTCCAGTGCATCTCGTGCAGCCTGGAGCTCTCCTTACATCTGCTGTTTGTGAGGCAGGCAGAAAGCCGATCACAGAGGGAGAACAACGCCAGCCACAGGAGTCACTCTTGCCTCCACTTCTGTTACAGCCAAGGAGGATGAGAAACATGCTCTTTCCCCTCAGGCAGCCAGAGAAAAAAGAAACCACAGAGGACCACAAAACCATCCCAGTACAACATCTGTGAATACTGCGCGCCGCCTCTAGTGGGCCGGGACACAAGCACATGAAGATAAAACCCTGTGTGGCAACTTTGCGTCAGTTGTTCTGTGGTTTGCTTTCACGTGAGAGGAATTAAATGCAAGCTGACACAAGATCAGAGCCAAGAGGCTCTTTTTCAAAGGCAAAACCCCCCACAAAACATCTCATAGACATGTCCCTTCTCACACAGCTCCCATCTCATACAGTGTTCTCCACCAGGCAAGGAGGAAGGCCTGAAAGCAACCTTTATGCACCCTATGCTAGTGCCATTAAACAAAGCTTTCTTAGAGAGAGAGAGAGCCCAGCCAGGTAAAGGTTTTCTTAAGCTGCAATTTTTCAGGTCCTTTATTTCTCTTCAACGTTGTATTAAAAGTAAAATTAAAAGAAAAATTCTAGAGCTTTTATTTCTGCTTAGAGCCTTCTAAGTTTAAAATAAGCCTTCATCCTGATATTAGCAAGAAGCAGGCCAGAGCAATAACTGATGAAGGAAACAAGAGGAACATGTTTTCCCAGCCTATACCCATTACAATTGTGTGATTGTTTCTCTTGGAGACATCTGTAAACCAAGCCCTGGACAGGGTTTTCCAAGGGCTGGTGTATCATGTATTTCCATAACTTGCAAAACTTAAAAAGATAAAAGTGGGGATTATCCATTGCTCTGAAGGATGAGTGTAGAGTAGTATAAACAAATACCCCTTCTCAGAAGAAATTTTTGCTGTCTGTGCCCTCAACTGCCCATCAGGGAAAGAAGTAAACAGTAATAGGGAAGGCTGACCACTTTCTCCTAGCAGACATATTTCTAAAAGCCAACAGCAAAAAACCTAGTATAAGCATCTGCCTTTAATTGCTGGTTCACAAGTACCTTAATTAGTCCTGAAGCCACAAGCTTGTGCTCTTTGGCCTGAATCTGTAGCAAAGGGAAGGGGATGCAACTCTTCACCTGTCCTTTCGGTGCCCAGCCACCTAAGTCATAAGCATTTCTGTGCTACGTGTGTTTTTGAATGTTATATTTCTGAATATAACATTCCCATGTATCTGTAGCATTGTGCCTGTGTTAGAGCAGCTTCTCACCACAATTAAATGAGCTCTGCTCTCAAATTCTTTATTAAATGTAACTTTAATAGTTAGAGGGGTTAAATTGTAATATGCTTTGGTACAATCAATGGTGGAGAGAAGAGGCGGAGCCTGACCGGGCTCCTGCTTTTGTTTGGTATCTGCTTTCTAGGGCACACTCACATTGCACCCAAAGGATGCCAGGCATCCCTGGAAGTTTTCCAAAGGCAGATGGCAGCCTGTGTCACAACTGCAATTCAGTAACAGCCAGGGTACACAGCGTGCACGTCTCCTTGGTGAATAAATTCACACTGTTTCAGCTTTTCCCAAGACTAAACAAAAGTTTAATAATTGCTTCTTAAAAGCTAAGAAGGAGGAGGGCCTGAGAGGGGAGCAGGTTGAGGCAATATTAAATAGAAGGTCCTACTCTTGGAAAATTGAAATGAGGTTTGGGCCTGCAACAAAAAAGACATGGTGATGCCAAGTTGTCTGAAGGAAAACCTTTGGTCTTTAGCGGCTGCCATGCTCCTGGACTACCTAACACAGGCTTTTACATTTCAGCTGGGAGGCTTTATAAGCAGCTAGGTATTTGCAGATGGATACACCCAAACTAGTAAAGTCCTGAGCTGCCATGAACTGAGCTCTTATGTGAGCCCCATGGTGCATGGGTCAGCCCTGCAGACCCATGGGGCTGACGGCAAAACAGAGGAGCATGTGCTGGTGCTGCTGCTTCTCTTTTCTGTCTAACGCTTCTGTTCGTCTCCTTCCTGGGGCAGGACTGAATTGAGATGAGCTTCCTCCCCTGCTTCAGAGGGTCTGGCCTGCCTGCCTGTAAGACAAATGCTGCAAGCAGCAAACTGTGGGGCATTTAAGTGCAGTTGCTGAAGCTTTGTGCTCTCTGTTTTGGGTCAGACCGTGCACTTCTGGAGGTACCAAGATGTTATGTTCAGAGCTGCCACCCTTATTCTTTGTGGTTGTAGTCTAAAAACTAGTTTTGGCGTTGGTTTTCTTTCTTTGTTTTCTCCTTACGAAGCTGCCTACCCATGGATAGGTATCTCCCATGGACCCACTGAGAAAGAAACCCTGGTTCCAGATAGGCAGCCCAAGTAGATGAGGCCATGTGTTTTGGCTCTTGGACAGGAATTTCGGGTCTTAGCAGAGGACTGAGTGCCTAAACCAGGCTGAAACACCCACTGAAGCTTTGAGGGAGCAGGATTGGGATCCTACCTGGGAACACATGCATGCCCAGCTCCTGCTGTTCCTAGAGTTGCCAAATATTTAATCCTCTGTGGGCTGAGACTTGAAAAGATTGTGTTTGACCTCCTCTGAATGGGAAATACTCCTGTCAGGGCACAGCGGAAACAAAATCAAGTTCAAAGAAAGACAAGAATGTGGCTTGCTGGACGTGGGATTAGACTGCATGGATTTATAAGGATGTATCCCACCCTGCTATTTGATCATTACCACATTGCAATGAGTGGTGAAAAACGCTGGCTATGGTCACCTTTTCCTTTTGCGGCATTGGGGGACCTCCCGGCAGTGCGTTGGAAGGCTCTAGAGAACATAGCAAAAGCCTTTTCAGAGTTTAAATCAGAGTGTAAATGCAGATGTTGCTACTTTAAAGCTTTAAATTCCCTTATATTTTGGAAAAGTCCAAATTTGAATGTTGTTCTTCAAGCCCCTTATGGTGCTCCAGTGGTCTGAGTGAGCTTAAAAAAAAACAACCCAGGCTTAAAAGAGCAGCAATACTGAGCAGACTTGTATGCATTGGGTGGCTTTGTCTTTTCTATACAGCCAAATGGCACAGCTACAGGCAAAAATATTTATCTCTGTACTTTACATGATGAGACCATGAGGAATAATGGAGGGTAAATGCCCTCAGTGTGCAGATGCCCCAGCTCAGGCCATTGAGAGAGCGCCTTCCCTCAGAATATTATCTCCCTGCCACAAAACTGGATTGTTAACTAATACCAGCTGAGATCTTTCCATAGGGAAGTAAATAAATAAAGGCCTTCCTCCCATCCCCAGCTTGTTGCAGAAAAACCACCCACGTTGTGTTTGAGGGGAAAAAAAAAACAAGCTCCCTGATGTACAACTCCAAAGAAACTGAAAATTATTAATTCCTCCCTGTTGAGGTATATTCCAAAAAAGAGCTTTGTCTTCCAGCTTTAGAAAAGGCAGTCTTTCTTTAGAACAGGTCCAGTTCCTTGTGGCAGAGGGGTTTCAGCAAAAAGCAAGGGGGTTAAAGCAGAGCAGCCTAGTTAGGGATGAGCAGCCCATCCTCCTCTGTGGCAGAGGGTGAAGCAAGGGATGCTGATGTGGTTCAGGCAGAGCTGGGGAGCTGCCAGAGCCGCACACTCACATACCCAAGGAGTGCCATGGCCAGGAGGGTAACGGTGAACACCCGGGGCCACCGCAGCTCTGTCTGCTGTGTGCAGTCTTGCCCTGGTGCTAATGTGAATTTATAGTCTGAACTGGCTCCAAAGCCCTGTTTACTATTAGCAGCCAGGTCCTGTGGGGCACCACTGTGTGTGGCCCTGGAGAGACATGCCAGCAGATGGTTCCTGTCCCCAAGAGCCATGCAGCAAAGAGGCAAAACATCCCAGAGGAGGCATAAAAATCCTCTGTATCTCTAAGTGGGGAAACTGAGGCATGAAGCAGCAGCCACTGCAAAAATGTGAGAAATAAATCCTCTGCTTTTGCTGGCAAGGAGACAGGGAGTGCAGCCATGGGCAGAAGCAGGCTGTGGGGAAGCAGCAGCATCACCCTGTACTTGGGTCTTAAAATCATAGAATAGTTAAGGTTGCAAAAGACCTCTAAGATCAAGTCCAGCCATTAACCCAGCACTGCTACATTCCCCAGCAAACCAAGTCCCCAAGGTGCCACATCCACACATTTTTGAATATTTTCAGGGATGGTGACTCAGCCGCTTCCCTGGGCAGCCTGTTCCAATCCCTGATCACCCTTTCAGTGAAAAAACTTTTCCTAATATCTGATCTAAACCTCCACTGGTGCAAATTGAGGCCATTTCCTCTTGTGCTATCACTTGTTACCTGGGAGAAGAGACTGACCCCCACCTTACCACAACCTCCTTTCAGGTAGTTGTAGAGAACAATGAAGTCTTCCCTGAGCCTCCTTTTCTCCAGGTTAAACAACCCCAGCTCCCTCAGCCACTCCTTATAAGCCTTGTGCTCCAGACCCTTCACCAGCCCCATTGCCCTTCTCTGGACACACTCCAGCACCACAATGACTTTTTTGCAGTGAGGGGCCCAAAACAGAACAGAGGATTTGAGGTGTGGGCTCACCAGTGCTGAGTACAGGGGGACAGTCACTGCCCTGGTCCTGCTGGCCACACCATTGCTGATACAAGCCAGGATGCCATTGGCCTTCATGGCCACCTGGGCACACACTGCCGGCTTATGTTCACCCTGGCTGTTGACCAGCACCCCCAGTTCCTTTTCCACTGGGCAGCTTTCCAGCCACTCTGCCCCAAGCCTGTAGGGCTGCATGGGGTTGTTCTGACCCAAGTGCGGGACCTGGCACTAGGCCTTGTTGAACCTCATATCACTGGCCTCAACCCTTTTATCCAGCCTCGGTGGTTTCCTCGAGTCCACTGCAACCTCTTTGCTGGTGACTGTGGAAAGGCTGGGTTCCCACTGCATGCAGGGAACTGACAAGGGAGATGAGGAAGACCTGATGCTGGAGCTTTGAGAGCTCACCACATGTGAGCCACAGTGGACATTCTTCCCCACATTGCTCCCCACCATCTTGTTGTTGGCTCCTCATCAGTCTTGCTGGCAAGACCCTGAGAAAAGTGCAAGGCAGAAAATGTAGCTGAGCTCTTACCCTCTCCAATAAAAGACCCAAACAGTCCTATGGACA